AATTCTCCCACATGGGGCGTATTCTCCAGACCTTGCGCCTCCTGACTATCACTTTCTTCGGGCGCTACAATATCACCTGGTGGATACCCAGTTTCAGTCTCCTGAAGAAGTCTGGCAGAGCATTGATGACTTCATCCAGTCAAAACCGCCATCTTTTTTCCGAGCCGGAATCCAACAATTGCCCGATAGATGGGAGAAATGCGTGCAAAGTGACGACTATTATTTTCAAGATCAGATCTGTATTCATTTTTTTATAAATGAATGTCAAGTGTCGAAAAAATGCCGAGAATAAAATCATACACCTAATATTTCCACATTGCGTCATGTATCACAAACTGATCAATGGGTCCCAAGGCCCAGAGAAGACTTTTAAATTTCACCGGCGGATCTGCATAAAATATTTTTATTTTGTGCTACACATCATAAAGAAAGGTTCTTTTACGAAATGGTATTTTACGTAACAACGGCTTCGCCGCACTCATGCGTAAAATCCGATTTACCGCCTGAGTTATGTAAAATGGTTTATGTTGCAAGTGCGTAAAGGGGAAGGGAGGAGAGGTCTAGGGAGCTAAGCCTCCCCACAAAAAAGTGATGAGGTACAGGGGGCGAAGCTGAAGAAAAAAAAGAAAATTTTAAGAAAAAAAAGAGAGAAAGAAGTAAGAAAAAAAGATAAATAAATATTTGAGAATAAGTCTTTTTTTTTAATTTTACGGCCTCCGAGTCCCTTTTTCGGGTCCCATTCGGCACTCTATCAACCCTATGCATGCGGCTGTGGATTCTGCACTGTACCGCATTCGCATTCCTATAGAGCATAGAAGTAGCATGGGGAAACCACAGAAAACCCATGCCGGTACAGGCGGTTCCTCTATTAGCAACCTCCCGCTCGCCGGAGCCTTCCGTTGAAAAATTCGGTTCCACGGGGAATCGAACTCACAACCTTTCACACACTAGACTTGCGTCTAATCCACTCGGCCACCGACGTCGGTGGGGAATAAGTCTTTACTATTATTTTTGTTTCATAAAAGATGAGGAATATGAGGAATGTTTTTTAATATTATATGAAAATTTATTAATGATAAATATATCCAAGACTTAGCAGCAGTTCAGAAGAGGTTCCTCAAATTCCTGGCCTGGAGGGAGGACAGTGTTTACCCTGAACGAGGCTCCAATTACCGGTTGCTTTGTAAACGTTTTAACTTCCTGACTCTTGAACAACAGAGAGCCAAGACCGCGATTATATTCGTTATCAAGGTCCTTAGGGGTATCATTGATTGCTCCGAGATATTGTGTCAACTTAATATCATGTTTTCTCACTCGATCACCCAGTCGGGTTCATGCATTTATCCCCCGAGGGCCAGGAATAACCTAGCTTTCAGATCGCCTATCCACCAAGTGAGCATCGCAATTAATTTAATGCTCAACCTTTTCCACTTGTTTCGCCACATGCAACCTATTGTAATACTACATCATGTTCCTCATACATCGTATTTTGACCGATTATAGGATAAACTTCAAATAAATTTATTCATCTACCTATAAGTTATGTAATTGGCCTCGGCTGTTTGACTGTTCCTACAATAAATAGATAAAAAATAAATAACACAAATGATTGCAAGACATAATTTATAATATATTATTGTTATGGTTATTCACCTTTTTTTTGTCATATAAATCGAGATGGAGCAATTGTTAAAAGTTTAGAAAACATTAGATTGTGGATTTTTTTAGGAAGGTCATTATATCAATATTCTCTTTATTGTTGTTAGTGTACGTCGTAGATGTCGATGGTTGTTAATGTTTTTGCTTCCGAATGGAAGCATTGTAATCGACCAAACTCAAGTTTTTCTGATTTTGATGGTTGTAGAGTCCTGAGGTAGCAGTGAATGGATGTTGATGATTGATTTTTTGATTTTTCTTTGTGTTGGAGTTGGTTGGAGTTGATGAGCGTTTGTTAGTTGTGTCGACGTTGATATTATGGTTGTCACTGAGGTTCGTGTTTGGGTACTGAATCATCATCAATGGAGTATATGTTATTTTCATCATCAGTGTTGAGATTTTTTGGTGTTGATATGCCTATATTATTGATCAAAGACGGTTGACATGTTTGTGTGGGAGGGGAGGTTAGGTTTTTCGGGAATGATTATTTTGTTTTAGATTCGTTGGCAGACTTTATACTTTATACATTTCGAATCGGCGACGTATTTATAAGCGGTTTTGGTTGATTGCCATCCCCCATGAATAGTGATGCCGCAAGAGAGCGTGGATGGCGAGACAAGACGGGAGAAACTGCGCAAGAGACGAGACAAGAGAACGAGTCTCTTGTCTCGCCCGGCCGCGAAACAAGACGAGAGAGGCAAGGGGAGAGACGAGAGAACTGGCAAAAGAGACGAGAAATCCGGATCATAATTTATTGAATTCATGACAAATTACTATCTAATATCTGTCAATAACTACTCAAATGTTGTTTGAGGCAAAAATTAATGCAAAAAAAAACGAAAATAAGAATTTTTGAAAGCGAAAGTGACGATTTCCGCTCACTAGAATGGAAGCTGATATAATTCATTGGAGGATTATGAACCATCAATAATTAGCTCGTTCGTTGGAAATATCTGAAATAGTTGCCAAACGGTTCTTCCTTCTTTTGTTGTTATTATATTTAATTTAAACAGACACGTATGAAAAAATTCAATAGAAAAACCTAGCGAATTCGCTAGAAAATTCCTTAGGATTTCTATAGAATTTTATATAATTTTTTGGCCGTTTCTATTGACACGTTCAATAACAAATATTCTATAGAAGAAGTCAATGGAATTTGATTTTTCTATACAACTTATTCTATTGAAATATTTTCTATATAGATTTTTCTAAGCTCAAATTTTCTGAGTTTTTTCTTCATTCTAATTTCCTTTTCTTCAGAAAACTTAGAAAAATAGAGTTGAAGAAATTCTATAGAAAATCTTCAATAGAATAAATTGTATAGAAAAATCGAATTCTATTGTCTTCTCCTACAGAATATTTTCTATCGAATGTATCAATAGAAACGGTCAAAAACTTATAGAAAGTTCTATAGAAATCCTATACAATTTTCCAGCGAATTCGCAATGTTTTTCTATTAAATTTTTTCGTGCGGGGATCGTGAGAAAATTATTTTTTTCTCCTCACCAACTGAAGATTTCCAAGTTTCATCATAGACCTCCTCAATTTCCGAATAATTAATTATTAATAGATCACACGAGTTCCAACATAAATCAAGAACACAAAATTATAGAAAATGATTATTAGACGATCGATTCATGTGTTTTATATTTAGTTTCCAAATAATTCCCTACACATCATACAAACATCATAAATGTTCTATTTCTCTAATTTCTCACATCACAATAGTTGGAGTTTCATCTTTGGAACTTGTTCAGACGTGAACCAAGAGTTCATGCATAAAAATCATTCAATACGAGTATGTTTAGTATATTATCGATTCCCGTGCTTTATATTCAATACTAATCTATTCTATCTGAGGTATTCCATGCAAAATGAGTGATTGATGGTGATTTTTCTGTGATTGGGGGGCTAGGGAAACTAATTCGTAATTTTTTCCGATTTTTTCGACAGCTCATTTCGGAGGTATAATATTTTTATTGGGCTTTTTTTCCCCATTAATTCTAATTCTACTTATCCGATTTTAATTCATCGTCCTCGCAAATGTCCCATTTCCCACCATCTATGAGAATATTTTGGGCCAGATTTCATTTTTCAATCCCTCGGTGCTCATAATAACCAGTTAAAGAAAAAAACGTTGGAATACTTGATCTTTCAAAATTACGTCACGTTTTTTTTTCCCATATTTTTCTCAGTTACTTTTATAATAGAAACAAGTATTTTGAGTCGTCATACAAGTTGGGTGCCGTCCTGGATATATTTTATTTTAATTTTGAATTTTCAAAATTACACGAATTTGGCCAAGACAACCCAAAAAAACTTCGATCATGTTTCGAAATAATGAGTAACATTGGGTATACATTCGAATTCACCCCATGCTGTTCATAATCAAAGTCAATCCACGTCATTTTAAGGTATTTTCACCAAATTTGCGGAATTTCGAAAAAAAAAAGAAACCGATCTAGGAAAAAAATCTACTTTTATGACGGCTCAAAATACTGGTTCTTATTATAAGAATTACTGGAAAAGAGATGAGAAAAATTAAATATGACGTAACTTCTAAAATTCAAGTTTTTCAACTTTAAAAAAAAATTTGTTGACTATTTAGAGAGTGAAAAAAAAATACCCAAAACATTCTTGTAAGCGGTAGAAAATGGGACATTTCGATGCATGATAAATAAAAATCGGAGAAATAGAAACCAAGTTATGGAAAAAAAGCACAAAAAACAAAGGAAACATCATATTTTCAAAATAAGTTGTTGAAAAAAATCAGAAAAAAATTAAGAGATCGATTTTTCAGCCCTCCAATCGTAGAAAAAATCTCCATCAATCTCCAAGAGGGTGAGGGNAAAAATTTGTTGACTATTTAGAGAGTGAAAAAAAAATACCCAAAACATTCTTGTAAGCGGTAGAAAATGGGACATTTCGATGCATGATAAATAAAAATCGGAGAAATAGAAACCAAGTTATGGAAAAAAAGCACAAAAAACAAAGGAAACATCATATTTTCAAAATAAGTTGTTGAAAAAAATCAGAAAAAAATTAAGAGATCGATTTTTCAGCCCTCCAATCGTAGAAAAAATCTCCATCAATCTCCAAGAGGGTGAGGGTCAGCCGTTGGCTCATTTAGCGGACAATATCTCAGATAGATCATGAAAACACCAATTAACTGCTCTATCTTTCTACTTTCTCACTTCACAATAGTTGGTTTCATCTTTGGAGTTAGCTCAGGCGTGAATCAAGTGTTCATGCACGGAAATGATTAAATATATTTGTTTATTACAAACAAACAAACCTTTATCAATCATACAAACATCACCAATGCTCTAGTTTTTTTCATTCTCCTATGACAATAGTTGGAGTTTTATCTTTGGAGCTAGTTCAGACGTGAACCAAGAGTTCATGCACAAAAGTAATTCAATATGTTTGTTGGACAATCGATTCCTGTGTTTTCGAATAATGAGTCCGGCTTTGCTGAGTAATCGTTCAGAAGGTACGTTCGATCCACAAATTGATAGATAATCTCGAGCCATTCTTGCTAAATTTGGAAAATTCTGCTCTTTTTGAGACCACCATTCCAGAATATCTACATCCTTATTCTCTCGATCCAGTTTCAGATAATTCTCGACTTCCGTCGTCCAATCTCGTTTCTTCTCTGTACTGTATATTGAATTCAATGCTTTTGTATATTCATCCATTTCCGAGTCATTACTAATGGGAATAATTCCCTCCGATGGTGGGTTGTCCAACGAAGCAGCGTATTCTGTTCGGAAAATCTCTTCAAATTTGTCATACGATTCCTTCTTGAGATCCTTCCCCCATTGGGTTCTATCAAACGTCTCCAGCTTGTGCCGTGGATCCAAGACCAGTACAGCACCATAAATCCAATTTGACTTATTATAATGTTTGATCAATTTATCACGTTCTGCTTGAAAGGCGAGAATCAGATTTTCATCCGTTTTATCGCGACCGGGTTTGTCATCAAGAGATTTACACAGCGCTTCTGTACTGTCAAGCAAAATGTTGACTCCTACAACAACTGAAGCAATAGTTGGATATCGATCTCCTCCCAATTTCCCGAGGAAAATCCATTCTTCTTTCTCAATGAGCAAATGGGATAACGTTGCGTTATTCTGTGCTAAAGCAGAGATCGATTTCTGCATCCTTAACCCTGCGGCAATCAAATCGTGCGTACTATTCCATCTCGTTGAGACATCCAAGGGTAAATGAATGAAATCTTCTTGGAAGGCTGAGCAACAATTTCTGAGTTTGTTCTTCAACTGTTCAGACTTTTTCAGTTTTTTACAGATGCTGCGAAGTCTAGCAATCGGCGAATTGGTGTTGCTCTCTTCAGGATTTTCTTCCATTTCTTCATCAGTCGATTCGTCCTCAGAGTCCATTCCGTCTATGGAATCATCCGCACAATGCTCCAATTTCAACATTTTGAAAGTATCTTGGACAGCCAAATTTACGACATGTTCAAAACAATGAAAATGTTGATTCTTGACATCAAACTCCCTTCCGTCGTTCCCTAATAATTTACCGAGTTCTTTCATAAATACGGTGTTGACAGAGGCATTGTCGAGGGTGATCCCTTGTATTTTATTTAACAATCCAGATTTCTTCAACGAATCATAGAACATGTTGGCCATGTCGAATCCCGAGTGTCGTCCTACACAGGGAATGAAATCTACAGCAAGTGAGTGCATTTTCCACGATGCATCAATGAAGTGAGCGGTGATGCCATAATAAGACTTCCCTCTGATTGATGTGATTTCATTTGTTTTATAGCTTAGTTCACAAATTACATGAAGCTGAAACTAGCGCAAGATTCGCTAGTGGAAGATTCAATTTCATATCTAATTGTTTAAATAATCTAAGGACTATCAAATTTCTTGGGTATATAGATTATATCTATGTGGAGTTTATCCACGAATATTTATTGTTTTTACTCAGAGGTTTTCTTGTTATTAACAAAAACAGATTATTTCAATCAATTTCATAATTTGATTTTTTCAATGAATGTCGAGGTACATGGGATCCCAACAATTTGAGAAAATACTCTCCACCCTTGTATCGAGTTTATCCACTTTTTTTTATTGATTCAGAAAACAACTTTATTTGGCTTTGTTAATTGGAAAAATAATGGGAAAAAAGTAAAAACTGAAATTCGACAAATACAATTTGAGAACGTATTGTCCATCCCTTTATCGAGCTTATACACTTTTTTGTTTTTCAATTAGAAAAAAAGGGTCACAAGGGGCTGAGCCGAGGGTCATAAGGGTCACTTTGGGGCGAGTCGAGGGTCATGAGGGTCATTTGGCGAGAGTCAAGCATCACGAGGGTAACTTGGGGGTGAGTCGAGGGCCATGAGGGTCACTTGGGGCAGAGTGTGAAAAACACTTGATACTTGACTCTCCCCAAAAATAATATTTTTAATACGGGCTAGAAATCTTGGCCATGAAAGGAAAATGTCCGTGCAAAAACATTGGTTGGTAATTTGTGGATCACCCGTTATATTTACGTGAAGAAAAATGAATAATTTACGCAAATGAAATAATAAATAATGGATATAATAATAATAGCAATAAAGAATGGTAAAAAAATAAATATTCACCTTTGTGGTAATACCATGAAGGTTTTCTCTTGTCGTCTGTATATTATCAACATCCTCACTTATTGGGAAAATGTTTGCTGTAAATGTCCTTGTGATTTTTCTTCAAGTACCACTTTAGCCCTGATGTGTTACCATTTGGCATTTTAACATCTACTTGGATGGCATTGGCTTTGCAAAGTTTACACTTCCCAAATTTGATAGTATCCTTGAATATTCCTTCAAAATACGGATTCCAACGTTCACCGATAAATGCACTGCCATCATTAGTCTTCGATTTTTTAGCTTGCTCTGTGCTCGGAGAACTTTCATTGGTTCTTTTCATCATAGCAATTAATGATCACTGTTTACTTGAATCCACACGAATAACATACTCAGTTACACATACCCATACGATCGTTAAAAAAAACTTTGGTTGTTGGCGAAGAAGGTACGAAGTATTCTCGACGTTAGTTGAACTCAAAGTGACCGAAATGCTGCGGCCGCAGTTTCTCGACCTTCCCGAAAATTTGGGAAAAATTTTGAAATTGTGCAATANTGTTTGCTGTAAATGTCCTTGTGATTTTTCTTCAAGTACCACTTTAGCCCTGATGTGTTACCATTTGGCATTTTAACATCTACTTGGATGGCATTGGCTTTGCAAAGTTTACACTTCCCAAATTTGATAGTATCCTTGAATATTCCTTCAAAATACGGATTCCAACGTTCACCGATAAATGCACTGCCATCATTAGTCTTCGATTTTTTAGCTTGCTGTGTGCTCGGAGAACTTTCATTGGTTCTTTTCATCATAGCAATTAATGATCACTGTTTACTTGAATCCACACGAATAACATACTCAGTTACACATACCCATACGATCGTTAAAAAAAACTTTGGTTGTTGGCGAAGAAGGTACGAAGTATTCTCGACGTTAGTTGAACTCAAAGTGACCGAAATGCTGCGGCCGCAGTTTCTCGACCTTCCCGAAAATTTGGGAAAAATTTTGAAATTGTGCAATAAATTAGGAGAGAAGTTGGGGTTCGCGGGGGAGGTATGTCCAAGAGGTACAATCGGTGAAGGGTACGCTTGGAGATATAAAACAACACATGGTACGGCGAATCGAACAATCGGTTTGCCGAAAAGGTAGGAAAGGTGCCATAAAGAAGGGTAGAAGGCCGATAGAAAAAATTTGTCAGTAAACACACAAAGATTAAACCCTTGATTTATAAGTCCACGTGTGGGGAAAAGTCTAGAGTGTTCAGCTACTGTCGTGGTGAGAAGATTTATTGCTATGGTTTATCAGCAATATTTTGAAATTTATAATAAATGCGAATGTTCAAAATTTTCATTCGACACGAAAATTCCAAATGTCAGAAAAGATTAATAAATCAAAACAATTCCGATCGAGATCATATTTCACAACTTTTTGCTTGTATGCTAGTATGCTGCAGAGTCAGAATGAGAATGAAGAATAAAAAATGAATATTCCAAAAATCGATTTCTTATGGTCTCTGCATATTATAACGTTACTAATAAATGAGAAAGCAAGATGTACCAATAAAAATGATTATCTTATGAATGAAAATTATGAATAAATTATGAAACGAGGGAGAATCGATTTTTGGGATGGTCATTTTTTGTTCCCAATTTTCGGTTTGACTCTGCAGCGTACAGGCGAACAATTTTGAAACATTATTCCAATCAAAAATATGGATTTTTTCTAAAAATTATCAGATTAGAGGAAAAAATGGAAAACAGACGGAAATCAACGTTTGCAGTTTTATTTTTCCATTTGCATAATGAAATTGAAGTCGGGAGAAAAATGATCATCATTTTTTGAAAGTTCAGAAAATTTAAGAGCAAAATCCATGCTTCGCGTTCGTTTATTAAATTTTCAAAATCATTAAATTAGATCGAAGAATAACGAGACGAAATCTTACAATCTCGCAGAGCGTAACTGATTAACCCGCGGGATTTTGGCTAGTCACATATTCTCTTTTTTATAAGTATTCGAAAGAAACAAAAACTAAATCATCCCAAATTTTCAGGCTGGATTTTCCTTCGATATTCGGTGGAACAGTTCATATATATTTTTATCAGCCGGCAGAAATTTCAAATGATTCGGGAGAACCCAAGACAAGACAAGACAAGACGACAAGAATCTTGCTCTCTTGGCAAGACGAGAGAAGGGTTTTGTCTCGCCCAGCGATACAAGACAAAACGAGAGAGTTTCCACCACATGACGAGACAAGACACGAGAGTAGCCGATTCTCGTCTCGTCTTGTCTTGCGGCATGGGTAGTGACCCATGAATTTTCAATGTGAGGACGTTCGCTCCAGATTCAGCTAGAATTGTTGCAGAAGAACGTCGAAAACAATGGCCTGTGTATCTTTTAATGTCAGGTAGTCCCAAACACTGAGAAACTATGCCCGGCATGCTTCCAAAATTGTTTATTCCAATATTTTGGTTTCAGCATTTTCTTTTGTGGTAAGTCATGAAAAGTCTTGATGTTGGAGCATCAGGGGATCTTAGAGAAGCTTATCTTTTGTAAATATCATATAGTTCATTCTCAACGTAAAATGTTCTGGCTACTTTATTCTGTTTGGCTTGCCGGGAGATGAACCGATAGGTAATTTCCATAATCTCTCAAATTATTGAGTATCAGATTTGTGTTCTTCCCTTTGTAATGCTCCCAGGATACCGAAAATCGTAGCCACCTGTAAGCAATTTATGAATTTATATTTTTTATTGATTAAGATTGAGTAATTTAAGTACAAATGAATAGGTTCACCAGAAACTTTTAGTGATGATTTATAGAGGTTGTGTGACAAAAATTTTACATAATTTGTAGTAAATGACGCTTTTCATGACTGTGATTGCAACCTTCGCCTTTGGCTTGCACTGTAAACCTCATATTCACTAAAAACGTAATTTATCAACACGTTGGATAAAATATTATTAATTAACGACTTGGTAAATTATGTTTTTGATGAATGTAAGATTGGCAGACCGAGGCAAAGGCGAGGGTTCACACTTGTTAAATAACAATTCACTACGAGTTATGTAATCGAATTGTTATAATGTTTCCATAGAAATTCAATCTAATGTTTTGGAGAATCTTTTCGTTGATGATTGATCCAATGTTTTCTTTTTCTCTGCATTTATTGAAAATTTCATAAGCTTTTATGTATCTGTATCGTGAACATGTTGGACAACGGCTCTGTTCTGCGTTTTGATCTCTTTGTAATATTTTTTCAAGCAATAGTGGATTTGTATCACTAAATACATCTTCTTGTGTATCCATGATGTACTTTACACGTAATTTTAAAGTGTTTCATTTATTATGCAGTTTATTTTTCACTGGAAAGTGCGACGTAAGGAAAAATTGTCAAACGGGAAAATTGTCAAATGAGAATGCGAAAGGGGCGCCATCCGGTAGTGACACCACGGAGTATGGTTTTTTGGGTAAAGAAGAGTTTTCAAGTTAGAATTGTATAGATAAATTCAAAATAATATTTAGTTTAAGATAATCAATTAGGGAGATATCTCAAGCACATTGAATTATACGATATCATAGGGGCAAAATGGGTTTTTCGTGAAGTCATACGATTTCATAGCGGTAGAATGGGTATTTCGTGTACTTCTACGATTCCACAGCGACAAGATGGGTATTCTGTGAACTTAATAAAAGTTAATAAATTTAATAAAACTCATCACTACATACATAAATTAGATATCACATGGATATCTTCACAATTTGGACCACGGCTATCTTCAAAACTACACCGTGTAGAGATGTGATAACTTCATCCCTGTACTGTATACTGATCCGTTGAAACTGTGATTCATTGAGAAAATAACGGATTTAGGGGACATATCCTACCAGACAGGTAAGTCTTTTATACTTTTCTTTTAATAATATCATTATGAATCTTTTTCGTAATTTTTGTCTAGGTCACAATGCTTCTGTGTTTTAATTATTCATTCTTTTCCAAGTCGACAATTATTATCGAAATTATTATATTCTGTTATTATTATATGAATAATTTTAATAGA